TAATAAAATGCGTGCAAAACTTGCGTTTACGGAAAGGGAAGTAACAATCTGAGTTCATCTTATTTTGAAGCTGCCGGTCTCTGCGCTTGTGGACAGGGTTAGGGACTTGCCGACGTAGTGCAGGGGATGGCCGAACGGCGACTTGTGAGCCGCACGCAGCTCCTGGGGAAGTTCACGTGAGCGCGCCGCACGCACGTGAGGAAAGATAAGGACAATTAACGAGAGTGAAGATGGAGGAGAAGTGAGAAAATAACCACAAAAAACAACCTTGAAATTTGCGCTCTCTGTTTGCACTTTCGTTAATATTTTCACATCGTGGCAGTGCTGGCTATCGTCGGGATGCGGCGTTTTTTCTTCTTTTCAACAATAACGTAATTTGGAACAGGAAAAATCACCAGAAGTCCGAGCTCCCCAAGGCCACTCGCCGCTGTCGGCGAAGCCAGACACGAGCGCTTGGCCCCGCCGAGGGGTTCTCGCAGATTTCTAAATAAATAAAACTCGCTGTCGACCAGTTGAGAACGACGCGGCCGCGTGAACGGCTCGCGCATCCCAAGGCAGTCCATCAGGGATACAGAGCCTGTGCTTGTGTAGTACCTCGTTGGGGAGCACAATATTCGAAGCACTGCAAGATGAGTGTAGACCACTCGCTCCCGTGTTTACCTACTGTTTGTCCAGGATCGGGTGGAGCTGTGGAACAGCACTGGACTGAATCCTACCCGAAGGTCGACTTGCCCATCATCCTTCTGGAGTAGATAAGATGAATGTCACTTTGTGGGAATTCAGTAGTGGGATGTGTGCTTTGCGGAGACTGGGCCCTTCGCCGTAGCAATATGGAATCTCCACCACTGGCTAACAGCTCTCCCACTATCATTTTAGCATGAGCGAACTTTAGACTTTTTTGTTTCGAGTATTTACTCATTGCCATATGGAAATCGTGAACAAATAAAAACAATGATTGTCATTGTTCCAACAGAAAGCTCTAAATATCAACCTGTTTGCTCATTGCAATCAGAATGTCAATTGGACGATCATAGGAGGATTCAATTCACTGGTTTATCTTGGACTTTTGGAGAATATGTCACGATACAAGTGATGAATAGATTTTACCAGCTTCATAACCTACAAACTGCGCACTATAAGCATCACATTTTTATTAACATCCAGAAATATATTTTTTGTTCATCAACTGCCAGTGAATGTGATCGTGTTTGTGGATGAACGAAGCCGCGTAGTTTGTTTTGAGATTCCGCGTGAACACGACAAGAGATGGAGTTGTCCTGACACTCGAGACCACCCAGTGGCGGGTGGAAGAAGCTAAACAGGTGTTGCCAGTCATTGAGGTTGTGTGGGAGCGGCGTTACTAATACTCGCAAAGTCGCGAGAATTATTATTTACGACAGCAATTTGAATTGATCGGCGGTGGCAGTGGCGAGGGGGCAGGGGTAGGTCTTGGCAGTGGCATCGTGTCGCCATGGGCCTCATCTCTTTATCCTACCTGATATAGATTTATGCAGCGCCTTAATCCAAGGCGCTGTACAATAATTACAAAATTGTACGTAAGATGATTCTGGTGAAAATACAAAAAAAGTGCGGTGGTGTAGTTATGGTGACAGTTCGGAGGGGGACAGGTGGGAGTGATCAAGGAAGGGTTGTTGGTAGGCCTGGTCATAGCCGTGGGCGTGGGGAGCAGCGGTGGCAGGATGATGGTCTAGGGAGGAGACGGGGGTTGTTTCAAGGGAGAAATGGAAAGGGAAAAGGAGTGAATGTGTAACTGGGCGCAGGGCGAGGGAGGCACAGAGAGAGACGGTAGAGACCTGGCAGTGTAGAGGATTGCATGCACAGTCTGTTGAGTGTTTGTGTCTACTTATAAATCATCGTCGTCGTTGTCAATATCAGCAACGTGAAGGCGACGAAGGCCCTTTTGGTCAACCAGTGGTCCTCGTTCCACCGCTGCCGTAGAATGCCTCCTGCAGAGTTAGGCCCATATCACGACAGATCTGACGAAGGCGCACTGTGCCGTGACGGACACCCTCGTCTGGCACCCTGCACGCGGCTCTTTAAGGGACAGCTTCGTGACGTACTCATTAAGGACCACTGTCTCGCATCCACGTGCATTGCGGTTCTTGAAAGATCGAGGTTCTTTACTGAATTCGAAAAAATGCCTCTTCTTGGTTTTTTGGTTGCCCACCGCTGCTCTCGAAGGATAGACGTAGGCCACACCGTGTACAGGAGCGTCCTCCTCCATTCTCGCAACGTGGAATACGTCCTGAGCGGACACTGACATAATCTGCATGCGAACGGGGTCGTCTCAATTTTATTGCGGCACAAAGATGAGTTTTAATTTACACACACACACAACACTCGCACGCATAATACATCGCCCATAAATATGTACACGCGCACACGTGCTCTTCCACTAATACAGACACACGCATTTACACCAGTTACAAACACCCCCCACCCTCCATGTATAAGCACACACACACAGTCACATAACGTACATACACAATCACACACAAGCACACGATCTCAAACATAATAACAAAAAGTCATTCTAAAAATACATTAAAGAAAAAACATTGCCCTGAAGGGAAAATATGAAGGCAATCTTTCAGCCAGTGGGGCTTCAAGACCTTGACTTCTCATCGATATCATGCTCAGGTTATTCCACCGCTAGGCTGTGGTGATTCCGCTCATGGAGGACCCACGTGTCTCTACACATTGTTTTTTAATATCCCGTTGTTTTTTTAACTGTGTTTAATCTTCCATCACAATGCATACAGCTTGGGTGGCCGTTTGGTTAAGCGATGCATGATTGTTAGAGTTGCGAGTTTTATAAAGCTCCTTATTGGGACTCGGCTCGGCCTATCAGCCCCGATAAAATTGAATCGCACTTAGTGGGGAGCCACTAACGGTCATTCTATGGAAATGTTCGCTCGACGTATTTCCCGTTGGCAAGTGTTCGCGCATTGTGCGTATGTGAGCGAAGGTGCCGTGGTAAATGGCACATTGTTATATCATCTGTGACATTCGGCAGATGAGGGTGCATTGATTTGTCATGTATCCCACATGTCCAGCCCACGCATGCCAAAAACAGCTCCCGTTTGGCCAGATATATGGAGCTAAATGGGCACGTCACAAGTTAGAGAAGGCCAATGTGGTAAATGACCGCTGTTGTTATGATGTATGAATGTGCATGTATGTGTGATATGTGTGTGCTTGTGTGTGTGTCTGTATCAAAGATACCGATACAATATCAAAGATACAGATACAGTGGGGAGCGGTAGTGTAGTGATTAGCGCGCTGCGCTACGAACCTGGCGACCCGAGTTCGATTCCCGCTCATGGCCAACACCAGTGGCGATTATCTGAACCGGTCCTGGGCCTCCCCTATGTCAACACAGCCTGAAATGAGTACCTGGTGCAGTGTGTAAACATCGCCACTAGGGAGACAAAGGCGGCCGAGCGTGGTGCTGGCCACTCACCCCCTTGTGTGCCGTGCCGGCCTTTATTGGTGCTCGCTAACAGCACTTGCCCCTGCAGTTTGTTAAGGCTATACGGGGATCTTTGTCTTCGTGTATCTGTATCTCACGCTGAATCAGTCTGGTGGCATTATCTTTTCATCAGATGCATAACGCTGTGTGGAAGCTACCTGGCCTGTAAGTTTTCTTGGCCACAGTTATACTCTCTCCCTTTCTTCTTGCGAGACGTGGAGCCCTCTAAAGGAACATCTGCGCCAGTTTGAAACATTCAGGCGAGCATGCCTACGATCTATCGTGGGTTTTTCCAGACTGAATTGTGTGAGGAGCTTGCAGATCCTTGAAAGATCTGGACGCAGTCCCGTCAGAGAGCTCCTCAGGCAGGTGAGGTTGCATTGGCTGGGTCATGTAGCCCGCATGCCCAGCCACTGCATGCCCAAGCAGCTTCTGTTCGGCCAGATATATGGGGCTAAATAGGCTCGGCACGGACTAATGTAATACAGAAGAACGTGGAGCAGATTTGACTTGCCGATGACTGGTACGAGCAGTGTTAAGATCGGCCTCTGTGGAGGAGGTTCATGAAGGACGCTGCTGGGCAGTTTGAGGCAGTCGCTCTCCATCAGCAATGGAAGGCAGAGGGGCGATGCTCACAACAACGAGAAAAGCTCCGGGTGTGGCTAAAATGCAGAAAGTCGGCACAGTGGGGGAGCACAGCTAGTGCATCTGCTAGTCATCTCAGTCAACACATGGCACCTGGTTTTCTGTTACCTCTTGCCAGCGTGCCTTCGGCACTTCACGTGGCCTCACAGTGCACCTTATCGTGGCACAGGCACCGTGGTGACGTCACCGCCACTTAGTAGTGAACGGCGGTTGTTGTTAGGTAGCTGTGCGTGGGTAGAGGCGGTGTAGTGGTTGGCGCACTTGCGTTATGATGACTTGTTATGAACCTGTGACGTGAGTTTGATTCCCAGCCACCGCCAATATCAGGAGTGAAACATCTCGAACAGATCTGGGCCTCTATTAGGTGGACATCTTCTATTATAAAAGCTCGGCGTTCCGTTTGTCCGTCAACCCATTCCACGAGGATAAAAAGGTAGATGTCTTTGCTAACAGCACTTGCCCATGCATGTTTTGCGGCTCTATGGGATATCGTTATCTTCACAAGCACACATATGTGATGTGTTTTTTTGCTTTGGGGGAGCGGTAGTGTAGTGGTTGGCGCGCTGCACTACAAACCCGGAAACCCGAGTTCAATTCCCGCTCTTGGCCACGAAAGTGACGAATATCTGAACTGGTCCTGGGCCTCCCCTAGGTTGATTCGGCCTCAAATGAGTACCTGATGTGGTGTGTAAACATCACCACTGGGGAGACAACGGAGGCCGGGCGTGGTGCTGGCAACCACCCCCCCCCCGGTTGTGCCGTGCCGGCCTTCACAGGTGCTCGCTGACAGCACTTGCCCCAACAGTTTTTTAAGGCTACATGGGACATCTTTGTCGTTTGTGTCTTTGCGTGGCATCTGCAGGCAGAAACGACGGCTCGGTGCACGGCCGCCCCTACTTCCACTGCAACCCGGGATACGGCCTGTTCGTCAGGGCCGAGCGCGTGTCCCATGCGCCACCGCGAGCCCAGCCCACCCGGAACCGCGCGCCCACGGCGGCCCGCGCTCGCGCGACGGACGCCTCGGCCCTCTCCTCGTCACAGCCCAACCTGGCGCGCCTGTCCGGCTCCCGCAGCGACCTCTCGGGGTCGCGACCCGACCCGGCCTCCGAGCCGTCGCCGGGGAGACGCGCCGGCGGCGGCGCGGGGAAGACGGGCGGGCAGCTCCGGGTGGCGGCGAGGACCAGCGAGGGGCGCAACTCCTGGGCTCCGTGAGGAGGGAGGGAGGGGAGGGGAGGGTTCTCGTGGCCGGCCCTGGTCGGCTTCGGCCTCCGTTCGGGAAGCTCAAGCCTGAAGAGAGGCCGCCCCCGTGACCTGCAGTTTTCACGATGCTTCATTCGCCGAGAAAATCCTCAGGACTATTTTTCAGGAGAAGTCTCTGCTTGGGATGGTTGGTAACCTTTCTGGTTGAGTTTTTGTTTGCATGCGAGAGGAAATCGGTGTGCGTGGAAAGCCAGGGCACGCGATGGATAACGCGCAAATTCCACAAGCACGGTCGGAAACGTATCTGTTATACTGCAGTCCGCGGGCATATTGTATTCCAGGTGGCAAATGTCTCACGTGATGATTCCATCCATCTCTGTATAATCCACCAACCCCATCGCCAAGTTGCTGAATTACGGGCATATACCACCATGGCCGGTAAAGATTGGTCACCTCCCAGTGTCCTTTATTTTGCTGGGTGAGTGCCAATTAGAATGCAGTTTTCCTAGTACACCGAGGCTAAGTAGGGTACAGATTTTATACAGCTCTTTTGCAGGCGAGGCTCTAATTTGAAATGCGAGCAACAATGATAGGACACAATTAGCTGCTCTTGGGAATGCTGCAACAGACTTCTCTTCAACATCCATTTTTATTTCAAAATGCTGCGCTTTGGTAACTCGGTGCCAGGATTACTGTGCGGCTGTATCAGGGATCGAACTGGTACTTACTGGCTCAATGGCGAGAATAATCACTGCCGGGATCCCCAGCTCTATGAACGGTCTGCTCTGCTGTTAAAGATTCACATGGAGACAGGTACTAGCATCCTCGCTGGCTTTGATATCTGCCCACCTCGTGATAAGCGAGGGCTGATGTCCCATGACAGATGCCCTTCATCTTGTATAACCTTCCGCGGCTCTCACGGAGTGTCGAGTCCGACTGCTCAACATTATCCCACCAACCAATCCGTTTCCTTCCTCTTCCCTTCCGCTATCCCTTGCAGACCGATCATCGTCACTGCTGCAGCTGACCCTTTTGGGACATGTCCTTCATTCGCTGTCCTTTCCCCGCACCTCCGATTAGCACGGCTCGCTACGTACGGTGCGAAAGAAGTTCAGCATAAGTACATTCATTCATTTCCCCCCCCCCCCACTTTTCATCATAATTCCCAGTCATTCCCCATGTCGCCGTTCTCTCTCGGCGCATTCTTATTCCGTCACGCCAACCCGCTCATTACATTGTGCAGTGTGTAACGAGCACAACGAGTGCATCTCCGATTAGCACGCTTGGCTACGTTTGGTGCAAAAGAAGTTCAACTTACATACATTCGTTAAAACAAAACGCATTCAGTCTATTTATCTCGTCCTTCCACGGTGTCCATGGGTGCTTATCTCACAACTTTGAAAACCTAAAGCGTTTCATTTCCTCATCCAAATTTTTTTCTCGTTTTGTGTCCGATCTGTAACTACCCCTCAGCCATTTTCAAAACCAGTTCTTCTTTTAACCGGTCTTGTTACAATTTTCCGGTCGTATTCCAATGTTCGCACTTGCTCCAGCTATTCCCCTGACATGTGCATCTTGGCAGGAGATACTTTTTGTATAAACACATCGTCATTGTCTCCTTAATGTAGATTTTCATACCATACTTTCTGCCGATATGATGCATATGCCGGAATGATGGTTATGTCCTGGGGTCTTGCACTTTTCTTGATGAGGATCTGTTTGGCTGATGTGTCAGCCAATGCTTAATGGATGCTGCACACTGATTCTTAGCCATCCTTTTACGTCCCTCACCGATTGCATAGAAACATTAAAAACCTTTGGACGTGAACCCCACTGCTCGCTTTTCACAGATGCACTTTTTTCCCCCAGACATTTAATCTCATTTTTTTCATTTTCCCTGCGATATTTCACAGCTTTGCTGGGACATTTGCTGCTCAGATTCCATGTTGCTATCTCCAGCATTCCTTTTGGAAGCAATGTATCGTCTTGTTCCCTTCTTCCTCTCATCAGGAATCGCAGTCCTCCCCTGTAGGGAGGTTTGTTGCAAAATAGTAATTGGTCACCATCCATTTTCCAGAAGTTGTGTTCAGATTTCTACCGATTCTTCTCTACCGCTCCCATCCCTCCTCAAACCCACACACACACACGTCTCACACAAACCTAAGCCATTGATTGGCTGTCTACGGTTGTAGTTCTTCTGCCTTCACCAACTTCCCCCCTGGAGGGTCTCTTGTGCCCCCCCCCCCCTGCACTGGTTTTTGCCGTTGTTGGTTTCGCCGTTGATGTCACCGTCTTCATCCGTGTGCCTGGGGCCTTGCCGAGCGCCATCCGGGTCCACGCACACCCTCTGTCGGTGCAATTTAGCTGCCCCGCTCTCGCCACATTTAATTTTTCCCGTGGTGAAATCACTACTGATAGCTGCTGCGGACAGGTGTAAGGTAATGCATGTAAAAAAAACAAGTTGTCTTAGGCCTCTTTGTATATCCACTGGCTAAGTGATAGCAGAAACACTACGGCTACAGCTGCTGGAGTGTAAAGCTTTATGGAATTTTGCTCGCCCGGTGTTGATATAAGGGATTTTACCATTAACAATGCGCAGTGTTACTTGAAAGTTAATAAAGCTTAGATTTGTGCATTCGGTCAACCTATTTATAATAAAGTGAGTGTTCACGTAGGATAGAAAGGGTCTGATTCACATTTTGGTGGAATCTTCCGTTTTCTCCCCAAATTATCAATATGAATGCCCCTTTCACAAAGGAGGCTCCGATTGAGGTAGGTTAAGATAAGAAACAAAGACAAGCCAGCTCACAAAGACCAGCAAACAGTGAAACGTGGAGAATTACAACAAACATTCAACTACTGTAACGAATATATATTTTGACTGAATATTTGTAGGTAATTATGATCAAGTAGTTGCTTTAGCTGGTATATCACGGTCCACTTTTTAAGCTGTTTAATGCATTTTATTGGGATTTGTAAATCCATCACAAGACGACGTTTCCATATGGTATGGGTCGGGCATCGTGACTCGTGGCTTGAGACATCAATTAAACTTTAAATCGTATCCTCGAATAGAAATCTGACTAGACGCTTTGATTGACTTTACTCGGTAAGAAAAGCTTGAAATAGCATAACAATTAAAATAAACTGCTTATACATAGTCTCTGGAAACTATTGCAATATCAAATCATGGACCATTTCCAATATGAAATGCGATCAGTTAACACATGCAGTACGCTTGAGACTGATACTACTTGCATAGCATGTAAGCTCGCATTGCCAATGCCCATGTTACCAATCTGGTTAATAATAGCGCCTCTAGTGGCGTGAAACCATTCCAATCCAAAATAGAATCGATAAACATTTGTACACTTACGATTTCGTCGGTGCATTTTGAGCGTGCATGAACAGCCCGTTGTCAATCCACTGCTGGATGAGCATCGTGTCACACCGTGCGGATTGTGGAGGTTATTTTACCATGCTTCATAGTCGGTGCGGATTGGTAAAGGATTGTGCGTACAAGTTTATATTAACCGATGTGTCGTTACTCCCAATGAAATGACCTTCATGTACAATGCATTAACTAACTACATTCTGTACAGTTGGGGCTTAACAGTTCTGCATATTAGGTTAATGTGGGTTTTAGTTGGGATATAGGAGAGTCAGGCCACAGGGTAACAATATCACGTGGTACTTGGGTGCAGGGAGCATGCAGGACACATTTGTACTCCAAAGGTCGCATAAGACAATGCAAAGCATTTAATATCAAATCAGTTTTACTTGTGTTCACCAATTGTTCATGTGTATAGAGAGCCATGAATTGCGAGTTTCTCGAATACATGTTTAGTAAAAGGTTCCTCTACAGTGGCACTGCCTAAAGCCCAAACAGAAGCCTCTCTGCTCGTATAGCGTTTCACTATAAGAGTCTACTTGGTTTTTAAATGTTCATGGTAACTGCACCCGAGTCGGTTCCACACCTATGCAATGTATTTGCCTCTTGGTAGAATTTAACGAAAGAGCGTGTTGATATGTAACATTCTTGTCAGGTGAGTTCTATTCAATAGACTCATAATGTATTGATATTGTTCAAGACATTATTTGTCTATGTGTATTCATTCTTGACGCCACTTTTTGTCCACTGTTCCCTTGACTGAACCGTATATCTAACCCTGACTTCACATCCTCTTAACCTAAACCAACCCAGAAGTTCAGCCATAACCCTCGTAGCCCGGTCACGGAAACCTCGACAACCTTGAACTCGTATAAACAAGTAGACAAGGGGCATTGTCATTCATCAGATAATAAATAACATTTCAGTTGTTGGTCAATTATATCTCCCCCTCCCCCCAATATGTTTTCCCAATGGCATGTTTGTCAACAATGGCATGTTTGTCAACAAGGTAGCCGTCTCGGTCCGCTCAGCAAAGGCGTGGCCCGTTAGGACAATGCCTCTGGCTAGTTTGACGCGTTGAACACTAGCAACGTTGCGTGATAAGAAATGTTGGTTGCTGCGGTGATTATCAAATATTTAAAGATTTGGTGTTTTTTTACGCCATTTGTACCGTCCTTTTGTCGAATTAATCACCAAATGTTGATTGCACAATTTCGTTGAGGAGCGTCGCTTTTCACCGACGGCACGGTTATGACATGCACTACAACGCTGCAAAGTAATGAGGCAATGATAGCGCGTGACCTTGGCTCGTGCGAACGTTGAGGCGGATAGCCCCCAAGACAGGCAATAATAGGCAGCTAGTCTCTGGCCTTTGTCTTCTGATAGCCTGCACGATGTAATCTGCACGGTGATTGTGTATGACCCGCAGCAGAATACGAACCTTGCCACCACATTTTGCTGAGAGTTAACATTTTCCCGAAATGCAATTTTGAAGAGAACATACGTAAAAAAACAGCGCCTTATTATCACACCACCAATTAAATTACGACTCCATTGCTCATTACTAATGTTAAGATAAACTTGAATCTTCGTGTTAAAATGCTCTTAATGTTGGCTCGGGTATGCGTGTATTGTGCTCCTGTTTGAGATGTCCTGTGTAATAAACGAGATTTAACACGCAGAATATTACACGCGCGTTCACGTAAAAGTTGCCCGAGTGCTCAGTCGATCAAATGTGTGCGTGTGTGGCGGTATCTATGGCCTGCAGCGTTATTCCGAAAAGAACTGCTTGTAATTTCTAAAAACCCAGCAATAAAGAACAGCAAGGTGCGTTTACCTGCAGTCCATCTTGGACGGTTTTTGTTATTTCGTGACAAATGGTGACGTATCCAATAAAGGTCTTATCACTGACCCCATCCTTTGTTCTTCTTTTGTACGGCCGATGTAGACACAGAGCAACAACTGCAATTTCACAATTCAGGTGCTCAAGCCCAGATAACCGGCGTTATGAGCCAGCGGAGTGTATCATCATCATGGCTGTGATGTCTCCTTCATATTTGTGGATCCCGGGACATTGTGTCCGTTATACCCCGTACGGTCTGTTCTGGATGACCACAGTCGCATACTGCAGTGGTTTTTTATTTTCCATTTGCGCATCTGCCATGGTTTGTGCAGTGGATGCGATTTAGGGTTGGCCACGAGCTTCGTGGAATATCAAACCCCAGGGATCGTCTGCGTTGGGTACCCCCACGACAATTGAACTCCCCGAATTAGACTTGGCTCGAAAACAATGGTGCGCGCCGAACCAAATCTGTAGCTCATGGTAGGTTTAGTGATGCACCTCGTGCCGAAGACCATTCCTCGAGTTTCTCTCTGGCTTCTTCATTTTCTGAGTAGCCCCATTTTGTGTGGTGGCTGTTGAAGTCACCCTTCATGTAACAGTTGCTTGTGGTAGTCGTCTTGAAGGCACATTTCTTCAGGCCTTGAAGCCATGTTTAGCGTGGTCGATGGCAGCAACAATAATATAACCATTTATTTTATATCTTGCCAGCCATGTGCTCTCCTCAACGTACACCCCCTGTAAGGCGATGATGTTAATGCACACCCCCCCCCCCCCCCCCCCCCCCCGAGGTTTCTGGCCAGAAAGTCATATTTAGGTCTTGAGAATGTACTACTATAGTTACCCATGTACTACTATAGTTACCGAATGTCAGTGTGTAACGCGCGTGACGTCACTCCACGTCGACCAGCACTCCATTAATAATCATGAACAGTATTCTTTGGGACTTTCGGTAAAGTCACGTAGACAGGTTCAAAGAAAATAACAAAAAACGACGACGTTTCGATCGCAACACAAGCGGTCGTCATCAGGAAAATGGTGAACCTTTCTCCGTGACTTCACCGAAAGACCCAAAGAATATGAATTCCTGCAGTCACGAAAGCTTTAAGTCAAGATTGAATCATGAACAGGTTACGTCCTCCAAATGGACCTGCCCCTCATGAGCGAGTGAAAATCCCCTCAATGATCATGAGCAGGTGACGTCACTCCACATCGAATAGCCCCCATCATGAATAATCATGAACAGGTAACGTCCTCCAAATGGACACCCGCCCCCATTCATAATAATTAGCGGCTGACGTCACTCCACATGGGGGGTCGAGGCGCCTCCTCTCTCCTCCTGGACCTCAACTTACAACCCTCACTACAAAGGCAGAACCCTCGCGCCACGCGATCTCCATCACGCTGTTGAGACATCGAAGTAAAAAGGACGTCATGATGCACATGGGATTATAACCTTTAAATGAAATAGGTCTGTGTCACCGCGCCCTGACAAATTGCACGCGCATTAATGCAGTGGATATCACGTCACGGTCTGCTTATCGCTTGCAAATTTCAGATTTACTGCAATACACCCGTCCTTGGGCAGGTTAAAGGCGAGTATGTTATAAAGAGGCCCGAAAATAAAAATTAAAGAAATATGAAAACACATTTTTTACTTGCAAAGTCAAGTAATTGTATTATTTCATTTGCTATGCATCCAGATAATACGACAAATCGCTAACCTTAAACACCCAGCCGTTCATACAAGTCGAAGGCAGTATAATACTATAGTAATAGAGCAAGTGCAGAATCACTGAACCAGAATTGATAGCTTGAAGGCATTTAGCATGAGGTCCTTGAAAGTGCGGGGCCCGTAGCTACCACACGTGTAGCTGTAGTGACATAGGTTGTCACTACTGTGTCGGCCCGTACGGGCTGGGGGCCCCAAGGGGGTGCCTGGGGGGTCACGTGGTGGAGGGACCGAGACCTTCCCGTGAGGTGGGGGAAGGGAGGCGTGGCCTGGGCGTAGCCGGCCACGCCGGAGCGGATATAAGGGAGGTGTGGATGCAACGCGGGGCCGGTTGAACTCCGAAGTCCGAAGTGAAGACGATATCATCGGTCCTCAAGTCCCGGGTCGTCGTCCTGGACCAGGCAGCCCGTTGCCTGCCTGGTCCAGTCTGTGTCGTGTTCCAGAGTGTTAGTGAGTTGAGGAAGGTGGTCACCACCTCATGTACAGTGTTATATTACTTACCGTTTAATAAATAGTTTTGCCTCCAAGTTGTGTGTGTGTGCACCTAATTCGAACCTATTACATAGCTGCTACTACATCCGTCTTCAGAGGCTTGTGTTGCTTCCGAAACGTCTTCGGAGACTTGTGTTGGTTCCGAAACGTCGTGATTTAATGTAGTTGTTTTCATTTAAATTTAGTTAAGTTTTTTTACCTACTTGACTTTAGCGATAAAAACAAAAAGTATGGATCCTTGCAGCCACAGAAACTATTTTTTTTGGGGGGGGGGGCAAAGCTTTGTGACGTCATATTTGAGGGGGGGTCTGACTTTTTGTGACGCCGTGTGACGATGGGGGGGGGGGGTCAAAAATCGTCCCAAATCGCGTGACGTCATTTATGGACGGCCCCGTTGGCTTTCACAGTGTGGTGTGCTGCGTGTTGCTGTCTGTGCCGTCATCCCCCACGATGACACATTTACAAAAATCGTACTGGACTTGATCATCAAATGAATAAAGTTGGAATCGAGCACTGAGTTCGCAATCGATGTACCTAAAATATTTGAACAACCCAAGCGAGGATGCTACTGGTTCTCTCTTCAGCTGCCAATTTTGACTTCTCGCTCCACGTGCAGACTCAACCAATCGCATTGCTCTATTCCTATAGCGAGGCGACAGCGCATCTGCTGAAAGGTCACTCATCATGCTCTGCGCTTACTTGAAATCACGGCCTATTTATACATGATGCAGGTTGGGCCAATTACAGCAATATTCAATCTAGATTTGAAGCTTTCGTGACTGCAAGAATCCACACTTTTTGGTTTTTTCGGTAAAGTCATGTAGGTAGGAAAAACATATTTAAAAATACTTTTTTTAAACACGCTTTAATGAAATGTACTGTCCGAGCTGCCCCCTGCCCCCTTCCCCCATCGCCCCTCCCCTCCTTCCACATCCCCGCCCCTGGGCGTGGCTCCCCGAGGCTTGCCGTGACGTAAGGGACCGCAGTTGAGCGTGGACAATTAGAGCCGTTAAAAAAATTGTTTAAAAATATATATTTTATTTTTAATGATAGAATATAGTATTGTCATCAGTATGACATAGCTATACGAAGTTTTCAGTCGATACGACATTGGGAATACGGTTGAAATTGAGTTCCAAGATTTTTGGATACAACACATACAGTAAGTTAAATAAAAGCGTGTAAAATGTTTTAAAATCTATGTTTTGGATTTTTTTTATTATAGAATCTCGTGTTGTCATCAGTATGACATACCTATACGAAGTTTGCAGTCGATAGCACAATGGGAAGTGTGTAAAAATTGAGTTACAATATTTCTTTTTTGAGGATACAACAGACGAAGTGCGTTAAATAAAAGCGTGTAAAAATAATAGATCACGACGTTTCGATCACAACACAAGCAACCGTCTTCAGGTGAAAAAGAGGGGGAATGATTCCCCGTCTTTTATTTATTACACGCTTTTATTTAACTCACTCTGTTGTTGTCGTATCCTCAAATATTGTAACTCAATTTTAACCCACTTCCCAATGTGGTATCGACTGAAAACTTCGTATTCTTATGTCTTACTGATGACAATACTATATTCTATCATAAAAAAAACTATATTTTTTTTAAATATGTCTTATGTTATGTTTCGGCTTGGCTCTAATTGTCCACGCTCAACTCACGTTGGCTGTAAATCACCCAGGTCTCTTACGTTATGGCAAGCCTCGAGGCCACTTCTTTTAAAAAAAGTATTTTTAAATGTAACTTTTCACCTGAAGACGGCTGCTTATGTTGCGATCAAAACGTCGTGATCTATTATTATTTTCTACCTACGTGACTTTACCGAAAGAACCAAAGAGTACAGCAATACTGTATTATTTCAACAGTCGCTCTGATTTCAGTGCAGATGTTTCACTGTCACTTGCAAGGCTGTAGCCATGGAGTCAACATTGGGGGGGACCAACTCTTCCAGGGGGTCTGGGGTCCCCCCCCAGAAAAAAAGAAATTTAAATTTGAAAACGAATTTCCTGCCCAAAATAAAAAAAAACTTCACTAACACATTGGATGGGCTTTTTATTTATGTTTTACAATGTCTAATAGTGTATTGTATTACATTGTTCTGTTTTTTCTTTTTTACCTTTTGTTTCATTGTATGTAATGGCAGAGATTAGGGGTTAAACAGGACCCTGCGGGATGGGCTGGTAGGAACGAATAACCAAAGAATATAAACATAATGTATTATTACACTTGTTTAGCCAGGAAAGCCCCACTGAGTCTAAAGGTTTTTGTAGGGTACTGCCAAGTGTTTGCAGTAGGGGGCGATGTTGCTACACCTAATCGGACGATACGAAGGGAGAGTTTGAGGCCTAGTTCTAGGCTTTAGGCCTAGCTGTAGGCTTTACGGCCGCTGTGAGTTAATTTGTAATTTAAATGTTTTAATTAAAAGCTATCTCAGGGAATTATAAGGGAATGTTACACTTGTTTAGCCAGGAAATTTTTTTTAATTAAAAGCTATCTCAGGGATTTATAAGGGAATGTTACACTTGTTTAGCCAGGAATTTTTTTTTTTATTAAAAGCTATCTCAGGGAATTATAAGGGAATGTTACACTTGTTTAGCCAGGAAAGCGTCACTGAGTCTAAAGGTTTTTGTAGGGTCCTGCCAAGTGTTTGCAGTAGGGGGCGATGTTGCTACACCTAATCGGACATCGGACGGACGGACGATATAATCTATTGTAGGATGGTTCACTTCGTTCCTACCAGTATAAAGTACAACCATAACCAAAATCATATAAACAGAATTCTATTTTATAGCAATATATAGTGGGGGGGGGGGGGGGGGAGACAGTGAGCATATTTGAAT